CCTTGTTGGGCAATGGACATGGTTGGCACTTAGAACTTTGGGGCTGCCACAAAGTTGGAGTTTGGCATCATGGCTCAAGGGCTAGGCTTGGGCTTGGTTGAGGTAGAAACCAACTTAGTCCAACAAAGTCCTATGTTTTTTTTTTTTGTTTGTGAATCTACTAGGCATGACTTGGCACAAGCTCAACCAGGCTAGAGCCAAGGTCCTTTTAGTCCAATCCGGGTTATGCCGAGTTCAAACAAGCCCTATATTGACCCGGGGCAAGGCCCATTGCCAACACTAGCCCCTAATTATATTCCAAGTCTTCTTTCTTACATGTGCGTCTAACACAACAGATCTTGAAAATTTAACACTAGTCTTGGCAGATACATGAACGAACCTTAGCCTCTACCTCTAAGTTCGAGTGACGAATTTCAAATGAGAAATGTAAACGGGTGCGATTGGGGTTAGATGTGGAGGTGGCTTGGGCCTAGACCTAACCCCTTTGGTTGGGTTGGGTATCAAACATGAACAAAAGTTATAATTATTATATAAAATAATTATCTGTGTAAAATATATCATCATCAAATGATAGTTTTTTTTTTAATTATTTTGGGTCGCCTATACAAATCATTATCTATCATTCTACTCTATCAAGTGTCCTACCTTCAATAAAGCTATAAATCCCTACGTTTATTTTACAAAAAATTATATACGATTGACACCTGCATATGTATTTATGTATCGGGTTGCATGGTTGTGGTCGTTAGCAACTTGAGAATTATATTGGAGACATAAATGTTTCTTTTGACTCGTATTTTCTATAAATGTTTCCTTTGATTCATATTTTTTTTTTTTGGGGTAATTCAACAAGGGAAGACACGCTCCTACCTGTTTTTTTCAAATAACTTTAAGAGTTGGTTTTTTTTAAGATGTTAGTGAGATGGGCCAGTTTACTTTTTTTCAAAATCTACTCAAACATAAATGTCGTATGAGTGATAATGAAGTCGCAAAGGTTTTATTAGCCTCATAAATGAAAAGGGCACGAATGAACAAAACCTTGGGGCGTGTTTTATGAGATTTTGGAAGTGGCAATTGAATTTGATAACAGGGATATTTTGGAAGTGTGGCACTCCACGCTTTCCAAAAGCCATTTTATCAAAATTTAAGTGTGTTGATTTTTGGAAGGCCACCCTTCCAACAAATTTGACGGAGGGGTGGTCTTTGCAAGAAGTGGGAAATTCCCTTTATCCCCCATAAAAGGCCTGCGTCAAATATGCCCTTGGTGTTTTAGGTTGCAGAGCCATAACATGCCACAAATGAAAAGGGAACTAATGAACAAAACCTTGGGGATGACCGGAGATTTTGGAAGTGGCAATTGAACCTCCCACTTCTGCATTTGATAATAGGGAGATTTTGGAAGTGTGGCATTCCATGCCCTTCCAAGCCATTTTATCAAAGTTGAAATGTGTTGATTTTTGGAAGGTCACCCTTCCATCAAAATTGATGGAGGGTGTTCTGCAATAAGTGGGAAACTCCCTTCATCCCCCATAAAAGGCCTGTGTTGGGTTGCAGAGCCATGACATGCCATCAAGGGTTTAACTGCCGGAACACCAGGGCTTTGGTCATGTCCATGGATAGCAATCATGTTGTTGCATATCCATGATATGCCGTTCGACAGTGGTGATTGTTATTTTAATCACCATTGGACGGTGGGTGGCTGAGAAATACCCAATTCACATCATAGTTAGCAAGTATACATTTCAAAACATGATTTATTTTCTAAAAATATATAGTTTCTTAAAATTTGTTAAGAACATTGAGTTTTCAAAATATATTAAAAAACAATGTATTTTTAATGGAACCGGTATGAATCCATATTATTTATTTGAAAATTTAAAAATTCATATATTTTTATTTGTTTATTAACTTAATATTATTGAATTTTGGTTTAAAGATAAACATATCTTTAGCGAGAGTAAATCAAGAATATTGATTTAACAAAAAATTCCATCAAAATTTTCACCAATTTCCTTGAAAAAAGTGTATAAAAAAAAAAATACAAGCAAATATATTTCCTAAAAATTAAGATATCAAAACAATATTATATCTTAAAATAATAGGTAGCATTAGAAGAAGAGTGACCCAATGGGAACTCATTTTTTTCTTTAAATAGCAAGAGAGATTCAGTGATATTAAATATTTAGGTAGCCAATAATTCAACGTGAGATTCGAATTTGCTTAAGCACTACAATTCTATAACTCGGGTCTTTTTTTATTTTTTATTCGATCAATAATCCTATACCTTGGTTAGTAGTTCTTGTTATTTACTAATGTAGTTATCGTGTTTACTACTGCTGTTGTTGTTTTATTTTATGCTCCAAAATAAATCTATGATATATTTTGTGTTTTTTTGTGACAACATACTGAGCATTGATGTTGGATGTATTCAAAGTTTAGACAAAAATTTGTCAAGTAATACTTTAACGACACTAAGCATGACCTTAAAATTATTGTTTAACAACTTTAATATTTTTATACAATAACTACAAATCATAATCCTGTATTATATCATATTTTTATATCCAAAATTTTTACTATATTTTTTTTGAACCAAATCTGAAATATTCACGATTATATAATTTACTTTATTTTTTGGCGATCTATATTTTTTACCCAATTTTTTCTTTATTGCCGATATTTTAGTTGTTCGATATACCATTATTCTCCAACTTTACCAAGTTGATGATATAGATTGCTCCAACAAAGTGACCTATCCGGTCTCCATATCCATGCTGCAAGTAAACCATTACTCATGATCACATAAATTTAGTTAGAAGTGTGTATAGGCGTCCAGTGAGTTCATGTACCGTGATTGATCCGTAGAGAATTTATCTACTACCTTGGTCATGTCATGCACACTCTCTTTTGACCGTTAAAATATTAATTGGACGGTGATGACACTTAGGAGTTATGACCACAAATTCCCCTTCCCCGTTAAACCAAATTTAAATCATGGCGCATCAAGCAAGGCGGAGTCCCCTTCTCAAATTTTCCCGCTGTTTTGCGCGACGACAGACCGCAAACCGCAAATAGCGTTTCAAAAAACCCTAACATGGATCTCCATTAACAGTAATTTCCTGCAACTTCTTCACTCAAGGCCCCAGCTCCATTAATGGCTTCTTCAAGCCCAGCAAAAGCTTCACAGCAGTCTCCCGTCTACCAAATAGGCGGAGTACCAGTGTCCTTTCCATATAAACCCTATGGCCCTCAGCTCGCTTTCATGAGCAAGGTGATCGCAACTTTAGACCGAGCTCATCGTCATGGCCACTGCCAGGCTCTCTTAGAATCTCCCACTGGTACTGGAAAGTCTCTATCTCTCCTCTGTGCTTCTCTCGCATGGCAAAACGAGTTAAAACTGAAGAAATGTGGATCAAAATTTGCGGATTCTCGCCCTTCTTTTGATCCGCCAAGAAGAACAGATGCTTCTGGTTCAGGTGAAAGTGGAGGAGATGAAAATCCATTTCTTAATGGTGGGGGTTTTATTCCTGAACCGGATCCACCAGGTCAGTAAGATCGGACCATTCGTCCGTTTGTTAAATTTTCCCATCTCTCTCTCCATCCATATCTTTAAATCGCAGTTTTTCTATTTGGGAGAGGGAGATTCTGAACTATCTACTCATCTCATAACTCACCCCCCTCAGGCTTTTAAGCCTCCATTTATCTGATGCCCTTCCTCTCTTACACAATTTGGGTCACAGTTTCACCTTTTGTATGTGAGGACAACTTCCAACTCTTCATCTTTCTCAGACATTTTTAGTTATTTTAGTTAGTCCTAAAGGCGATGGACATATGCTGAGCAAATTGTTTACTGATGCGTTTATAGAATACATGTTTACTTATTTCGTTTAACTCTGCTTAGTAAAAGCATTTTGTAGTTATTGCTGTTATTCTGAACCATTAATCATAATTTATCATTTTAATGTTGTGTCCCATGCGAGATATCATGTCTGGTATTCGGCGACTGCTCAGGAGAATTCCGTGCTCTTTTCACAATCCAGGAATTGGGCTCTGCATTTTTTAAATGGGGTGGGATATCCATGCAGTTTTTGCATGAATTTGGGCAACTGTCCCGACACTTAGTTAATCTCTCCTTTACTTGTATGTTCTGAGGCGTGAAATCAAGACACCTTCAACATAAATAATTAAGTGAAATCACATGACATCACACATTCTGTTTGTAGTCACTGATTCAGTTTTTTGCGTAATTTTGCAAAAAAGTTACCTAGAAATCATTACCTCTTCTTCAGAAATTCCAAGTCGATAGGTACTGTCTGTTGGATTACCTCTCTATGTTAATCTATTTTTTTCTTAAGTATGGCACACATAATGAATTATCCTTTACATTTTTCATTTGCCCGTGCATGGGATTTGTTCTCTTCCTTTTTTTTTGGATAATCAGGATTACAAATTATTATGGTTTTAACTGGGTATTCAGTGACAGGGAACTTAGAGCAGGCGTCAACTGGTACCAGTAATGGGGCAGAGAAAAACCAAAAGATACCAACTATTATCTTTGCCTCGTAGGTATTAACTTGGTTTTAACAAGAATGTATTTCATGGGTGATGTTTGCATGCTGACTACCATGTCTTGCTTGAAGGAGGACGCATTCTCAGATTAGCCAAGTGATTAGTGAGTATCGGAAAACATCATACAGGGTTCCAATGGTGGTTTTGGTATGTTTATGTTTTTTCAGTGTGTTATTCTTTGCTTTTTTTGTTTTTTTGTTATTGATCTTTTTATGAGCTCCATACACATTGTATATTTTGTATACAGAGAGCATAAGCATCACCAGAAGAAAATTTATAGCAACTTTCTCCTTTATGATTTTAGTGGTTTATCCTTTTGCTGTAAACCAAATAGTTGGTTCTTTACTACATGGCAAAGTGGCCTTGTTTATCCGATAGACATGGCAGAATTACATGGTATCTTCTTTTTATATTCAGGGAAACATACATAAAGCAGGTTTTACATGATTGAAAACCTGTTTCCAACAACTGTTTCCTATGGATAGAATAGTGACTTCTAAGTGTTTCTCAGAAGTAAAGCAGTTTATACATGTCACATAGATAATTTACCTTGCATAAGAAAAGAGTTATCTAGCCATTTGAATAATGTATTGCATTGAATCAGTCATACAATTTGTTGATGCATGTTGACAGAGTTAAAAAATTCAGCGGCCTAGACGCCTAGGCGCTCTAGGCAGGCCACCAAATGAGGGGGCTTAGGTGGGCACCCAAGACATCCGCCTTTTGCTCTAGGTGACTGCCTAGGCAGGCTAAGGTGCTGCCTAGTGCCATCCGCTTTAGAACGAAAATAGTTTAAGGCATAAGCCCCCTTTAAAAAGATGCTAAGTCCTAAAAAAGAGTATGTAAGGCCCCTTTAAAAATATGCTAAGTCCCAAAAAAGAGTATGTAAGCCCCCCTTAAGTAAAATTGTGAAGTCCTAAGAAAGAGTACGCAAGCCCCCCTTCAAACAAAGTAAAAAAGAAAAGGTAAGAAGAAGAAGATGAAGAGATAAACTATCTCGAGAACAAAACCCTAACTGCCATCAACTTTGCAGAAAGTCTCTTCTCTCTCTCTCTCTTCACTTCCTCTGTCACTCCTCGTTTTCCTCCCTTGCACAAATGATAGAAGGGGTTGCAAAAACAGCAGGAATTAGGGCAGATAAACTGTAAGAAAAACCATAGCGGACATTAACATTGCAAAAACCTCTCCTCTCTTTCCTCTCTCTCTCTCCCCTCTTTTTTTTTTCTCCCTTGCTTTGCACCTCGAGAATGAAGATATAATTTAAGGCTGACTATAAAATATTTTAAAATAACCCCATTTCCAGTCTATTTCAGTATCCCCCCCCCCCCAAAACAAAACAAAAAACGAGGTGGGGGGGGGGACTGCCTTGGTTTCTAGTTGCCTGGTTAGGCGACCGTCCAGCCACGTAAGCAGCCATATCCGACTTTTTGGAACCTCGCACATTAATGTATATTGTGTAACAAAATTACCACTTGGCAATTGCGTTGGGAAACTATGCCCCTTTTATTACATCATGTATTTTCCATCTGTTTTATTTGGTCACGTGGAAATGCATATAGCAGTCCCTTGGTTGTTCGTAATTGTCCCTTATCTGAAGCGAATGCCATTTTGTCAAGCTGTTTATTCTTGTTTCAAATACTAATTCTGCCTAATGCTCTGTGTGTATCTGCTTGTGGCTTTTCTTTCAACTTAGTTGACGACTGGGTTGCCACATGGATGTTCTTTTTGCAGGGAGATACCAGTTGCAATTGTTCTTTAATTCACATTGCTATTTTTTGTTGAATTTATCTATTTCGATGTTTTTGTTGTAAGTGTTGCATTTACAAGTTTATATTTCCAGGCATCGAGGAAACATTATTGCACCAACAAATATATCTGTCAAAAGGAAAATGTTGATGAGGAGTGGTACATTCCCAAGACTATAACCCATGGAAAACTTGTTCCTTGTTAGATACATTTGTTTGTATTTTTTTTTTTAAGTATGTGGCTTAAGAAGGTTTATTTTCTTTGTGATTCCAGTAAATTGCTCATAAAGAAATCCGAGGTTGCATGTTCTGAGTTCAGGTGAGTATGATAGTAGTATGAAAAAATTAAGTAATTTGGATTTTCTTCTCTTCCTTGCCACAAGTAGTGACAAGTTTTGAATTGACAGAAATGTAAAAGGAGTTCTTGCTGATCCTTCTCTTCAGAAAGGTGGCTCTCTTGAGGTGCACGATATCGAGGATTTGGTCAAACTTGGTAAAAAACAAAAAGGTATGACCTTAATTTGCCATAAATGTTGGACTGCACCTCACTAATGAAAACCTTACAAGGCTCTTGTTTTCTTGTAGGTTGTTCATATTTCGCAGCTCGTACCATGGTAGGGAATGCTCAAATAGTATTTTCTCCATACAGCTATATCTTAAATCCAATCATCCGGAGAGCGATGGAAATTGATCTTAAGGGATCTATCGTGATTCTTGACGAAGCTCAGTATGCCTTGCTGAACTTCCTTCATATGCTTAGATCATAATGTTGACTATTCTTGCTAGTTTATGGCATTGTGGCACAAATGAGCACCTACTTTTTCTGCGCTTTTTGTTTATGCATAAATGAACATCTGGCTTTTTTTTTTTTTTGGGGGGGGGAAGGGGGGGGTCATTTTATGATATCTTGCATTTTGCAGAATTCAGAATGATAAATGTAGGGTAAAAAATTTTCTTGGTTCTGTTAGCATATGATATTTAACAAGACTTTACCTCGTGTGGCAAAAAATTGAATTACCAATTCTCCTTAGGGGCAACAATAGGCTGGTCATTATGCTAATGGGATGTACTTAATGCATTTTTGCCTAAAGCATTTGCAAGCATTTCTAATTTCACTTCCTCCTGATTTTTCAGTGCAAGACAACTGTATTATGTGTGCTAAAGGGAAATCATTGTGTACTTTTAATCAATCATCAGGAGTGTGATTTGGAAAATTTGGTTATGCTTCATAAAGTTCCGGGTTTAAAAGACATAAATCTAGTTATTTTGTTTTTGCTAGAAAATCTTTTTCCTAATAAAATGTCTGCTTATGTTATTCTTATTTGTCATTTTACGAGCTTATGAAACTCTTTAGGAAGTTTTTGACATCACAGACCTTTGTCATGCAAAGTGTTGTGATACTTGAAGAGATCTTTCAAGCTTTTACGATCACTCCCCAAGTGTCACAGTGAAATTCCGTATACCATTTTTTCATGTTCTTTGCATTGGAGTCCATCCAGATTTGACCCATTGGGTGCCAAGGGCAGATTTGCAAACCTTTTGACTCTATTTTCTTTCTACTAACTTGTATCACTGGGCTCCTTCCTGATCTTCTTGGCTCTATTTCTGTAGAACCTCAATTCTCCCCTTCAGCAATCTTCGAATTTTTTCAATTCTTGATCGCTGAGTTGATGGTTCTTCCCAAGGGTGGAACTCTTGCTTAAGAAACTAAATAACTATTGTCCATTATCTCTATAATAAATGGAATGTTGGTCGTTCTTTCTAATTTTCCTTATTGTCGAAGTAGTGTCCCATGCTTTCTGTAAGATAGATTTGGTTCTCTCAATCCCAGTTGATTTTCAGAAGTTTCTGATCTATATAGTGGCTTATGTAATTATGATCAAGAAGTTGATGGAGAAATCTTTTATAGAAAATCATAACCTCAATGCAATTGTACTTGTATATTTTATAGAAGTTTGGCTATTCTGTTTGCTGCTCAGTGAAACAAAATATGATAGTTCGCGGGTGAGCCCGAGTGGCCTCCCCCGAGTAAAGACCATCGCAAAAAAGCAAAAAAAAAAAAAGCAAAATGAAAGAGAGAGGGAGGGTGCTTGGCCATGTGCCTAAAAGAATGAGAGGGCCCTGGGCATGTGGCCAAAGGGTTTGGGCACGTCATTCCCTCTGTCTCCACCTCACAGATCTCTCTCTGATTTCTCTCTCTCTTTCAGTTCTCTTTTTCTCTCAATCTCTCTCTCTCTCTATTTGACTTCTCTCTCTCTCTCTCTCACACACATCTCTGTCTTTGATTTCTCTTCCTCTCTCACTGCTCTCTCTTTGTCTCTCTGTCACAGATCTCTATCTCACAGATCTCTCTCTCTCTCTCTCTATTTCTCAAAGTCCCTCTTTATCTCACTTATTTCTCTCTCTCTCTCTCTCTCTCCCCAGTAGAGAGATGACAGAAGCTTGCCCCCTTTTGGAGAGAGAAAGAGAGAGGGAGAGCCAGAAGGAGAAAGAAAGAGGGACAAAGAGAGAGAGAAAGAGAGAGGTAGGGAGAGAGAGGTATGGAAAGGGAGCAGAAATCACCCCCCTTTGAGAGAGAGCGAGCGATTATCTAGTTAGCCGAATAGAGAGCGAGAGCGAGAGGGAGAGATGAAAGGGTGGTGGTGGCCCCCATTTATGAGAGAGAAAGAGAGAGAGAGAGAGAGAGAGAGAGAGAGAGAGAGAGAGAGAGAGATACCGTAACCCCTTAACTTACTGTTACTTACCTTTACTTACCGTTATATAGTAGTTAGTACGTAGGTTACGTACTACCTCCGTCCTACGACACTAAGTTGGTTGGACGGTC